AAAAAAAAAAAAAAAAAAGAATATGCAACTAGAAGGCAGAAGACTGGCTATCTAGTTGTAAATATGCCACTTGAATACTTGAAGAATGTTTATTTTAAATATAAATATAAATGCTTAGTTTATTTTAAATATAAATACTCAAAATGAACTCTCATGTCTTTTGATATTCAGCTATTGAAGAAAATTAGTACTTTTACTGTACCTTCTCTGTGTTTACAAATGATTAGTGCTGTGTATACTTGCGAATTTTAGCTGTTTTAGAAAACACACAAACTGAAAATATCATAGTAATACACAAGCAATATTAGTTGATTACTTAATTTATAGGTTATGATCATGTTTTCACTTTATCAATTGTAATTATTTATATTTTGGGATTGTATTTTAGATCAATTTAAGATAATTATACTGCCTTTCTATAAGTAAAATGTCCTTAATTTTACAAGTGAATTACATGCTCTGTGAACATCCTCTTATAAAATTTTTCCAAATCTCTGGTCAAAGTTTGGCAAAGCATTAGTATATATAGTTGAATTTTTAAAAATTTGTTGATATCAGGTAAATCACTAGAGAGTCTACTAAGATCTCAGAAAATCTTTTTTATATCAACTATGATCAAAATAAAAATGAGATACTTTTCTGATTCATGTCCATTTTGAATATTCATGTTATATTTAGCTTCTGAACATCAGACTTTTTGTGCACCCTATAACTTATGATAATATTCTTCTTAAATTATTACTAATAATTTGCTAATATTTTGATACAGGTAATGGATTAGGAATTAGAATTGTGGGTGGTAAAGAAATCCCTGGACATAGTGGAGAAATTGGAGCCTATATTGCCAAAATTCTTCCTGGTGGAAGTGCAGAACAGACAGGGAAACTTATGGAAGGTAAGAATAAAGAATTGCTAAGTATAATGAATGCACTCATATTAAATATGTTTTCATTTAACATGTACATTGTCCTATTCGTTATTATCTAGGTAAGCCTCTCTTCTTATGGTTAATCATGAAATTTTGGTATAGTAATTTAAAAGAAGAAATGTCCACAAATATATTCATTTTAATTTCAATTGCATTATCCCTTTGGCAGCTGATTAGCTACAGAATATATTGTTTTAGAAACACTAATTAAACTTTTTTTACTAATTGGAACAATTTTATAAAAATACTATCAGCTATCTGGATTGTTTTATAAATACTGATAAAATTATATTGAAATTAAAGCTACAAAAATTTCAGATGATTCAGAACGTATTACGGTTGGGTCAGCAAACTATGGACAATACACAGGTTGAATCTATCTGCCACCTGCTTCTATAAACAATGTTTTATTGGAACACAGCTGTGACCATTGATTTACATATTTGTGCATAGGTCTTTTCCCACTATAATAGCAGGACTGCATTCATGATAGAGACTGTATGGTCTGCAACAGCTATTTCTTTTTGGCCCTTTACATAAAGTTTACATTACGTCATTGTATCATAAGCATTTTAAAACAATAAACTTTATAGACATAGCTAATGGGCTATAAAATATATGTTTAATTATTTTCTTTCAGTAAAATATTGTAGTCAGATTTCTAAAACGCTTAATGATAATTTTCAATTGTCAATCAGAAGATATGGGCATTTGCATTCTCCAGTTTCTAGCATCAATACAGTTTGCAAACTTTCAGTGATATTATTTATAATGAACATTGTTTATCATAAAGTAAATGTAACCTTTTCATTTTTACTCTAAATAAATAAATTTGGAAAAAGTGTTTTTCTGTCATTTCATAGTTTAATAAAATTTTGTCTGTTATTGCTTAAAAACTTTAATTATGTTAAAAATTATTCACTGTGATTTTGTATATATTGGAATATTGGACCCTAACAAAATATATTGGAACCTAACAAAAAAATCCTTGGACATTCTGATAGACTATTAGAATAAACACATACTGGAGGCAGAACTTATTCATCATGATGTCCTGCTGAAACCAGCTGGTTTCATAGCAGTAGGATGTGCTGGACACATCTCTTTCCAACTTCGAATTCAGTGATATCATGGTGATAGCTTGAATTGGTCATGGTGGGAGTAATGTGGAAATAGGCAAATTCTGTAAATCAAGCCTTTGTCTGCTTGCTTGCGTGCTTTTAGAATGCCAGTTTACCAGCACATCACCAAATATGTAACTGAAAGTATATTATTAAAAATATTCCAATGACATTCATAAAACAGAGGAAGTTAGGAGAGCCAGCCAATAGCTAAATGAAGGAAAAGAATGAATGAATCAAGAAATGATAATTATGAGTAAAACACTTGGTCCATAAGAATTTATTGTGACTATAGCCCTATTATGCCCAACACTAATTTTTTAGTGTTGCAGTCTTGTAAAGGATACATGAGTTGAGACTGATTTTTAAGGATGGAAGTGGTAGGATCACTTTCACATAGTATATTCCAGAAGAAATTTGAATATGCTATGTTTATTTTAAAATAAAACTCGCAATAATAACTGTGCCTGACATCATTTGGTAAATATACTTGAATAATTCACAGATAAAAGTTCATATATTTCTTTAGATTGGCACAATATAAATCAGCAAATGCAACAAAAGATGATTTTAAAGATAGTATAGTATCATAGTATATCTAGGAGGTATACTATGATGGAGTGATACTCTTTGCACTAGGTAACCGAAGTGGCATTTTTTAAGTTCATACGTTTAATTTTAAAAATAAATATAATACAACCTCATTCAAGAGGGAAAACAAAAGTAAACCTAAAATTGCATTTGTGATTTTTATAAGAGCTGAAGACCGCCACTAAAGTTCTCTTATTTGGAACCAGTATTTTTGCACTTTGTCTAATTGGTTTAAGGGAGATATCATTAAAAACTACATGCATATTATTTAAGATTTTATTTTTGTTAATTATTTATTTATTCTCTCAAAATTTTGCCAACCTGTCAAATCAGATCTTCTGGTTAGAAGTCAGTTCCTGCCTAACCCACACCTGTAATTTGTTATTTATTATTTTTAGCTTTGCTTTATTTACTCTTACAACATAGCTTTTTAATAAATCTCTTGTTAATATTTCTATTACATTCCCAATGCTGTCTTGACTGTTGATATTTTAGTACTATTTATGAACATTAAATATTCTGGAGGATAACTTTGACATATGGCAAATCATATCCTTTTTCCCACCCATAAAGGCTACACCTATATTTTATGCTACCAGGCTAGAAAGAGAAAGTCTCATTTCTATTACGTCCAAAGATTAAGTAGCTAGAAGTCCACTAATTCAAATGGGTATCCACAAGCATTCATCTTGTTTAGACTGATATTTCATGCATGTGAGTGTATGTGTGTGTGTGTGTGTGTATGTGTGTGCGCGTGCATGTGTGTGTGTGTAGTTATAGGTGATATATGATATTCTGTAGTATCAACTCCTAATAGATTATCCAGAAATTCCAAAGCAGTAACTTGATTGAAATACAACTTTGATTTTTATGCCTAATATGAGACATCATTATAATTATACCATTGTATATTACTGGAAGCTTTGTTTTCTTTTAATTTTTAAACAATGGTTTTTACAACTATTGATTTTTAAAAATTTATTTATCAAAGGTGATTAACATTTCATAGTTTTAAGTTTATTATTTCCCAAAGAAAAAATATACATATATAGATAGAATATTTAATTATTGAATTTCTCTGTCTATTTAATGAATTTCAGGTAGACTTAGGAATTGATATGTTACAGATATATCTTTGCCTTCTATATTTCTGAATAAAAAAGGATATAGACTGTGCCCTTACAGATTCAATACTGTCTTCTATTTCACTTAAAAAGAGTGACAACTTGGTTAGCAATAGAATTCTTAGAATGTACTTTTTTCTACCCCAAACTACAAAGCTGTGTTTTAGATAAGTTTGGCCAAGTCTACTGCTTTTCCTGAGTTTGTTAATTTCTCTAATAACAGACTTTTAAAGATTTGTGGTATAGTATTTACTTTTTATAATTTCATTATATTTTTAGTTAGCAAATAATAATTGCATATATCTGTGGATTACAATGTGATGTTTTGATACATGAATACCTTGTGGAATGATCAAACAGGCTAATTAGCATATTGCAGGTTTTTCAGCCTCATCAAGATCTAACATTTTAGCACTTTTACAGCATTCGATGGTATAGACTGATTATGTTGACTTTAGGAAAGCAAGTGTATTTTCAACTTTCCTCTAGGCTTACGTCCTCTGGATGTATTCATTTAAGACTTATTGGCCAATCATGTAGGTTTTCTGATGCTCTTAAGCTAAGTGCTATTCTGAAAGTACTCGCTTATGTAACCAACATTAAATGTGAGAAAAAAATCCCTGTTAGATTTTCTAAATGGTTACTCTGATTGCTTATGAAAAAGATTTTTATTCAATCTTTTTGAAGAGTCTTTTTGAACAAATTAGTTCATCTTGTTAGATAATGTTAAAAGAATGTTGTGTTTCAGAATGCTGAGAATTAGCGATAATTATCATTGCAAAATAATTAGGCTATACAGAAGAAATTGCTTTTAAAACACTCCTAATATTAGTGTGTGTGCCATCTCCTAAAATAAAATATGCAGTCAAAGATTTCCAGTATTCAAAATTTCCTGAACAATCTTTTAGTTTTAAATCAACGTACGATAATGTTGAGAAAGAACTCCGGGAATCAGGTGCTTAAAGGATACTAATCTTTCAAAATTTTAAAATTTATTTCCCAGTAACATTTACTAAACATTCTTGAACAAATACCATACAAAGAATGATATTTTGCAATCTGTTATTCTTTGTCTTAATTGCATAAGATTAGTCTTTGTTCTATTGAAAAAAGTGAACACAAAAGATCTGGGGAATTTAACTACACATCTAATAAAGTTTCCAAAGTGCTATATCTTGCTATTTGCTTTAGGATTGTAATTTTAACATTTTTTAGAACAACATTATTCAGCAATGTTGAACTTTTAGACAGTATATAATGTTTTTTCTCACTTTGGTCTTTGTCTTTAGCATTCTTTTTTATTTTTATTTTTATTTTTTGGCATTTCTTTTTGAACTAATTTGAGCATCTAAAATACACTAGAATACGAGGGGGGACCCCCAAAAACCTGGAATTTATTTATTAAAAATTGTGTATTCACTCTTACATGTTTAAGCTTCACTCACCTTCAAAGTACTTGCCACTTGAGGCAATAGACCTGTAGACACTTTTTCCACTGCTCAGAACAGTTTTTGAACTGCTTTGATGTCTTTTAGTACTCCTGCCATTTTTTGTTTCACCTCTTCGATAGGCAAAATCTTTCCCTTTGAGGACTTTTTTCATCTGGGGAAGCAAAAAAAAAAAAGTCACTCGGGATGCGATTGAATGAATAGGGCGGGTGGGACATAAGGATCATGCCGTTTGGGGTCAAAAACTGCTGAACACTCAGTGCAGTATGGATAGGTTGTTTGTGTAAATCTCCCATCGTGAAATGGGCAAATGCACTGAAAGAATGTTCAAAAAAATTCACTGAAGTTGAATACATCCTCTCACAACAATGCTAGCAGGTACATTGCTGCTGATGGGTTCCTAGAATACTTAACTAGCAGAGGAAGCCTGCACTGTAAAGGGCCCACCCGCCAATAAACAATTCCAGGGTTTTTGGTTCCCCCCTTGTATATGAACTCTGAATATGTGTTTATACCTTGCCAATTTTATTTTAAATATTTATTCTTGGCTAAATTAACCTTTGTATAGTACAATATTAAGTCAGTATAATTAACACTTTAACTAATGGACCCACCAAAATGGATATCTTCCATAATAAAGTTTTAGACTATTTTACTTGTTAAAACCTACTTGATATCATCAA